AAAAAATAATTAAGTTTACGATCGCTGTATTGCCTCAACCCCTTAGTCGTAGTGTATACCTATTCATACTTCAATATGTGCTGACCTGCTTAAATTACGTGTCTGTACTTTGATCACGTTTATTGTTAGTCATTATCGTTTCTATATCGTATTTCCTACATAATATATTCATAACTGTTAACGATAAAATAAATAATAATATTTTACACTAACATTACATACCATTTATACACAAACACATAAATTGTAGTGGTCTACAGAGGCGAGTATATTAATATTGTATAGGTAATACATTTTACGTTATTTTCGTCAATAAAAATTGTTTTTAAACGTTTTTGTTTTTCRTTCTCCGAACTTTTACGTTTCGTTATTGTTTTTTAACGGGCTTTGGGTTATATGCGTAAATTACGTATCATAACAATATAATATAATAAATTGTTATTATTAATACACATCTGAGTTACGACTATAATCTGCTGTATYTGTGGACATTATATTATTATTTTGCTCTCGTGATGCTTCGAAGTCCGTCGAATTTCTACATAGTAATATTATAATAAGTACACAAAGTGTTTCCAGTAGTTTTTTTACGGTCAAATTATGTTATTATATTTTTACGACAAGTAATAACTACCGTTGTCCTCGCCTGCAGTCTGATTCCCGCTCGTACTTGCAATATTATGATGCTCACATAAAATATATTTAATTACTATCACAAGTTGAATTATTTTCTTCACTAAATATAAGTACACATTTACAATTATATACAAACAGCTGTCAAGATCCGTGTAATATTATGTTTTGTTATGTTGAAGCGAAATCGCAGTACGCCAACGCAGCAATGTCGATAACCTATTATAATATATTATATAAGTACGCTATATCTGTATTAAATAACCACTATGGGCACTAAGTATCACGCATATTATTATCGACGCTATAATATTTACATTGTAAACGGCTCTCGTTAAACATTGAAATTTGTATTTTTTAGTTTTTTTTTTTCATATTCGCTCAACCTAACGATCTGTTGTTTACATTTCGTCACGCAAGCATCGAGCCTATCCCCGAAGTTCAAAACACAAGATCCAACGGTTTAAAATGCGGATACGGTACTATTACAGAAATTTGTCGAGAATAATGATAACACTTTTGTTGATAATTATATTTCTATATGAATTGTTTAGTTATAATATAATAGACACATGCTACCGCAGGCTGCAATTATTATTTACCTATAAYGTGACGCGAGTATTTGTTTATCTTATCTCGATAGGTAGGTAATTCAGTAATTATAGTATTGACGTCTCGCTAGTCGCAGTGCATACAATATTTTAATACATCACATTTATTATAGTTTATATAATATACACTATATTATAATATGTCTCCTGAAATTACCAAACCATTCCAAGTATATTTTTATGTCTAATATTTTTGTGAAACCGTGAAACATCCGTATCTTTGAATGCTGCTTTTTCAACGGTTATCCATAGGAAAATGTTAAATTCCAGTTCAATAGTATATATTTTCTTATACGATATGATGGATAACTGTTGAAAAAATATAAGTAAAATTATAATTAGGGCGATACGAGATTTGTATCATAAAAAAGTTTTTCTTTGTTTGTATTCGTATACACTGTAGTCTGTAATACTGTATTCGTCTTGATCGAAGTTTAATCTTTCAATAGAACAACTTAGAACTTATAAGCTCATACACTATCAAAGTTACAATTTAATTGTATCGTAAATCGTAATAACTGATCATGTCACTAACATTTTTTTCTCACAAATGTAAGTATTATTCATTAATTAACCGGAATTAACGGTTGATTAAGTTGTTTATATATTATATATATATCAATATATCATTTGGTATTTGATATTTACACTTGATAATATTATACAACGAAATTTCATCATTAATATTAACAACGCTGTTTGTTAGTTTTAGGTTCACAATACTTTTGTTGATTAAGCTTTCAGTTTTGTAAACATTTTAACGAGGTTTTTGTTTTGTGATTTAATATATATTATATTTTGCTTTATTAAGCATGTTTTAATATTTTATATATTATCAAACACATAAATTCTATAATAACTTGCAAACGCACTGATAAAGTGATAAAACGTTATTTTTTCTGTTGCGCAATAATATCATAAATTATAATCAAAGTAGTAACGATTGTGTTCTCACAAAATTTACACAAACTTGTTTAATGCTAGGAGATGTTTGGAAATTCAGTGAAACCTGTGGAGCCCTGCTCCATGTGGCGGCAGCATGAGGTTTACTATAAATGTGATATAAATTGAAATAATCTATCTAGGATCAAATGATAATACTCAATAGTGACGTAATAACAAGTTATTACCTATTGTTATTGGTGTTCAAGTGTTGTCTTTAAACGCCGTTTTCTAATGGCATAGTATTGTTATATCATAATCGACATAATCAAATAACAATGAAAACAACGAATTGTATCGTATTTCGTATCTCAAATTTTCAAATTTTTAAGTTATAAGACATAAGTAATAATATTATGTTGGAATCTAGTATGGGAAATCAAACGGAAACAATTTTAAATGCAAGAAATACGATTATTGTTGCTTAAGTTGTAACTAAAAATTTAATTTCATAAGAATGCGCGACCAAACACACACACACATACATCGTTGTAAAAATAATACATTCRTGGCTAAACTCAGTATATAACAATTTAAAGATTTGACTTATTCGATTTATTTTTGTAAAATATTATTTTAGATTGAAAATGGAAGTCGATTACGAATGGGGAACGTTGTCGGCTAACGTACCGGTTCAAAAGTTGGAGCAACACTTTCGTGAAAATTTTGAATCACTTCAACCGGAATACTACGTCAAAGTACCGGGTAGAGTAAATTTGATCGGTGAACATGTAGATTATTGCGGTTATTCCGTATTCCCGATGGCCATTGATCAGTGTATCGTAGTGGCGGCGAAGAGGACAACTGWTCGGAAAACCGTGGAGTTGACCAACCTGTGTACGGAGCGGTACGAAAACGTCTCCAAAAATATATCTGACATAAGGTATAAATAAATCAAACGTACTGCGACGTCCGGTTCGCAAAATATATTATAACCACTGTGAACTAAAAAAATTATCGGTTTATCTGAATACAGTGCGGAATCTTTGGGCAAGAGTCCGAGTTGGTCGAACTATTTTATGTGTGGCGTGAAGGGAGCTCGAGAGTACTTGAGTGATAGTCAGCTAAAAGCCGTCGAAAAAGTCGGTTTTCTATTCGCGATCACCGGAAATATTCCAGAGAGTTCGGGATTGAGCAGTTCGAGTGCACTAGTGACGGCTGCGGTGATGGCCACCCTAGTCGGATACGGAGTGAGTTTATTCTATAATTTATGTTACCTA